CTATCTGTCTTGTTTATTCAAGAGAGGATTTATTAAGTTGAAAGAACTTGTATTCAATCTTTTTGTATGCATTCTACAATAAAATGTGTTATCTATATGAGAAATATTGCTTTTTTTCCAAGAAACTGAGTGGACAAGACGACATTCAACAGCAGAAAACATTTAAAACATTCCAATTCACTGAAACAGACAAAACATTTTTGTTCAGAATAATAGCAGGGAGCTGTGCAAGATACGATTGAAAGCAAAATTCCGTGTTCAATCTCCTACATCTTACAAAATCAATGCATTTAAATCATAGTGACCATATATTTTAATCATGGCAGGCTGCCATGCTCAAACTATTTGTGGAGAATCTTAAAGAATTCCATAAATATTATACTTTGAAATAAGAATGGATCTAACAATACAACTGATACATATCATGATATACAGTAAAATTTATAAATAGCATGTACATATACTGTGAAATACCATATTCACAATTTTCTATAGATATTGGGTCTCTATTCAAACATGGGAAACTATCTTTTATATATAAGTTTTAAATGAAGTAAAACTACATGTTCAGATCACACAAATATTTCATTATAACAATGCATCACCTTATAGGAAATTTGTGTGACACCAAATACAAATTGTAAAACTGTACATGTAGCATTTAAGCAAACAATAATCTGTATTTTTTAACTTTAATTTAACACCTAAAAATTATTTCATTTTTACTCCACCGCAAAGATTAGTTAGTTAATTATTAGAATCATTAAGAACCGACAAATAAATAAAATTTAATTATATGTAAAAATAATAAAATGACAGTGTCATGGACAACTGTGATCTCATAGATAAAAAGTAAGTTAAATTCTGCTTTGATCAACAACGTACATAGTATTTGGGATGATATCAGACCAATTTTTTTCACGAAATGAGAGATTATTAGATATTAAGGATGAATTCTTCTGATCAATTTACCCCAAGTGGGTCTTCGTACTTAGACATGTCGTAAAATTCAAACTGATAACAATTTACAAAGAAGTTTTTAAAGTTTTTATGATTTATATGTTTAACTATATTTATTTTTAAATAAAAAATCTTTCTATGTTCTATAAATGACCAACACGTGTGCAAAATTACGATATTTACGACATAGGCCTAAGAAAGTCGACAAGTGAAATCGACATCGAGAGGGGAAGACTCAAGAAGACGGGATCGCCCGTTTCAAAGCGACAGGAATGCCGAATGGCACGCCAACCGACAGAAATTTTAAAACATTAAAAAAATTGTCGAGATCACAATTAAGCATACAGGAACATTCTCGAAAGCGGTACCAAAACATGCCAGCCAAGAGCGCCGAAGTGTGTTGACGCAGTGGAAAAGCGAAAATGTAGGTTAACAATGCTTTCAAACTGATTGAAAATAGCAATGTTTATGTGTTATAAATACAAAGGTTTCAAAATACATAGTATACTGTCACATTGCAAACTCAAACATAGCATATTACATGTTACATGTACGTAACGTTAGGCCTAAGGTCTCCAGAGGCGTGCAGACGACAACATTCGTATTATCTTTTTTATTACAACTTTAGCTTTTAGTATATGATAAATTACCTTTGATATTGTAAATGCAGAATCTCTATCTCAAATTTATAGACATACCGTAAGAAAATAATAAGATAACTTCTATAATTTTTAGCTGTTTACATTCGGTAAGAAACTAGGTCGCTTCATTCTATGGCGGCCTATGCGGGTTAAAAAAATGGAATATTTCTGAAACATCATGGAACATGTAGAAATTATTTTAGTCTAAACTACAGGCCTGGGTTCATAAAAACAAAGTCAGGTAGACATAACAATGATTTTCCATTTTTTGAATAATGATATTACCAGTAAATTATAATCTAATTTTTTTCTAAAAAAATTTTTTACAGGTATATAAGTCTTGTTTTCACAAGAATCACTAATGAAGGCTTTTAGAAGAGAGCAGGGTTTAAGAACCACTAAAATCAGATGGAGAAAACCATAAAAATCAGATTGAGAAAGTGGGACTGGATTTGACTAATCCCTGTGAAGCCACCATCCAACACCAAAATCCAGGACCCAATCTGGAACCCCCAGGCCAAGAGAAAGAGAGGACATCCAACAGACTATTGTGAAGTTAAATGTGTTAATTGATTACTTTTTGTTCTTAAAAATCTTTTCCTAACAAAATTGTAAATATTACCTGAAATTATCACACTAATTTTGAATATTTGGTGAATAAAACACATACTTTGATGCCTAAATGCTTGATTTATTTTCATTAAATGCTGAAAAAGAAACATGGGGTGGGGATATAAAAAATATCAAAACTTTCTTATATGTGCACTAACCCCTACTTTTCATGCTATGAAAAGAAGCCATAATACCTAAAGAAACTTTACAACAATTTTCTTAAAAAGTTTAATTGTAGAAATATGTTTTTCTTTGGTTTTTCGAGCAATTTTATAGGGAAAAATGTGCCTAATTTTGACATGGGTGAACAACATTTGTGGGTACAAGTTATCTAATTGGTATTTATTTGCTCATATTTTGTTTAAAAAATCAACTTTGCAATACTTTCAAGTAAATTTAAGCCAAATTAAGTTTTAATTCACTGTATTTATAAGTTTTATGAGGTATTTTATTGTCTAGTAGCATTTTTAAGGAAATTTCCAATGCTCTATTTTGGCCTATGTTCAAAGGGTTGAACCTCTCTTAGATGAACACTAACATACATTTTTCTTGTCTTTAAATTATTCCTTGGATATTACACTTTCAGAAAAATATAAGCATTTGAAAAGTTTAATGCACGTTTTTTTCCGCGTATCATAAGAATACATCCTTAATAATTCGTTTCAAACATCTTCCACTTCAAGGATATTTCTATAATACTGATGGGTACCCATCTCTTATACGCAACTCCCTTTATACCACCCTAAAACATTTATTGATACATACACTTTAATGCATTGTTTATTACGTGTACATAATGCCATTGTGACCTCCTATTTTACCATTTGACTTGACACTTATTAGGTCTCCCAAAGCAAACCATAGCGGGGTAATATGCAAATATGCAAAATTCCCGGGAAAATTTATCAGATTTTGAATATCATTAAATGTTCACCTTTGCAACAACCGAGTCCTTATTACCATTCCCTATCATTTTTTCCCGAGACTTATTAAGTTAAGTTACACTTTTAAATAGCATTAAAATAATTTGACTAAATGCATGGATTTTCATTTATATTCAATTAAATGTTTATATATAAAAAAGAATACAAAAAAATTTTATATGAATTTTATTGATGAATATTATATCAAGAGATAACTTTAAAACACATGATCTTCAATCTTAGTACATGCACCCAGCTTTCATTTATACCTTTTTGCTATAGGCTAACAGGACATATGGTTTGTATTTTATTAAATATTAAAATATTCGTTATCTATATTATCTATCATATGATGTATGAAGCATCAACATTTTCATGTATAGTCATTCATGAACATGGTGAATAACTATAAATCAATCTTTTATACAGTTATTTTTTCTGCATATAACAACTTTTCATAATCTTACAATGACCTTGTCACAAATACAATTTATCATTGAGTCAAACACTGACGGAGGTTTTTCATATTAATTGTTAGTCCATTATTTATACACTGAAGGAGCACACGGCGGGGATGCTCACTCTTTAATGGAACATGATCCCACCTCTGATATTTCGGAGGTCCGTGTTTGCAATGCTCTCATTTTGTATTGGTTTATAGACTTTGATATTGAATACTGTTCATTATCTCCATATCTTTCTAGGACTTCCTCTGAAAAATATATAACAAACTCCATGACATTTATTTATTTCGTTCAGTACTAGATGGATGGAGGATTTTCAGAGTTTTAAAATATGGTTAATGCTAAGTTTTAGCGAAAGTAACATGTATAACTGGGAAGTTTTTTTTATTTTATTCCTGAATCACCTTTATGTATTTATATCTTCTTTTGTTGGTTTGTTTTGTGTGAGTTTGGCTGTGGCTGTGTCCTTTTCATTTTGTTATTTTTTCTTTGCAACTTTTTCCCGTAAAACTAACATGCAAATCCTTCCTCATCTTGAAAATAATTATTCCATCCAAAGAAGTAACAAAAAGGGAAATAAATGATCTAACTCGGCGAAAATGCCATCTCACTGCTCCATTCAGAATTTTATTACGTATTTAAGAAAAATGCATTTTTCAATCAAATATATAGTGGAAAAATAAAATTATTACTCACTTATGGCCAGCTACTGTAAGTTCTGATCTTTTATTTATCACAATTTGATAACAGGATACGGATTTCAATTTAAAAAAAAAAGGGGGGGTGAAGATAAAATACAAAATATTTTTTCATACCCCTAAATACTATTCAAATAGCTCAAAAAGCCTTTATATTATGTAGGGCTTAACAATATCTCACACGTTCAAATAGAAATCAAATAACTATAAAATGACCATCATATTGTGCCAGTCAATTCATGTTCATAGTCAAAAATCAAAACATTAATTAACCGTAGTCAGATATTCATGTCATTAATCTGATAATATCTCTGTAAACTTTACATTTTGTACATTTTTTTTCAATGTGCCTTAACATGGTCGAAAATACGCACTTTGAAATAAATTGTATTTTTTGAAATGATTAATTTGGTCCCAAATTTAACTCACTTTGATTTTTTTCAAAGTGTGTAATTTTGTGTAAGTGTGTAAACTGTGCGTTGTAACAATGCATGTAAATAGAATTGGTATTACCTTTGATTTACGAGTGTTTTAATGCTAAACAGAAAACGAAACAAGATTTTATCGGTATTTCCCTTAAACTTAATATACAGATATCCATTTGCAGAGCCAATATAAGGAACCTAATCAATAAGTGCTACAAGTATGTTTACATTTATTTTAACATACGAGTGTAATCATCCAACAGAAATGTTGCATTTCTCAAAAATGGTATTTTTAAGAATGTCTTTCCTTTATATCATTATAAACATAACTTATTTACAGGATGGACCACATTCCTCGTCTATCAGAGGTCCTGTATGTTGGTCTGTGTTGTAAGATAGGGACACCGACAGAAGTGGCCATCCGAAGGGACGTGCTGGACATGTAGGCGATGATAAAGAAATCTATTTCTAATCAAATAGGATGTGTTATGATGAAGAGTGGGAGTTATAGAGAGGGATTTAGGTTGAAATCATCTGACATAGATAAAATGTTCTGGTTGTGTAATCATAAATTAATAACTGACATCTCCCAGTCTCGGCTTGATAATACAACAAAACATGTCATTGTGCTAATGGAAAATTCTGATACACCACCAGGATTTGTCAGATTACGCCTCCTCACACCAACACGACACGTAATACCGACATCTTGTCTTGTTCTCTGTTATGACTGTGCTTATATATCTAGTCGTCTGTGGAGAGAAATACATTTTCAGCTGCAGCATAAGGCGTATACCAAAAATGAAACTTTAAGAATCCATGGTCCTTGTGGTAGTGGATTCCATGGACCAATAGAATTCGATGATACTGCATGCTTAGCCTCTATTCCTTGGCCCAAACTAGTAGGAAGTTGGGTTGACAGATGCCAGAGATACACCTGGCCAACTGCATCTGTGTTACAAAAAATCTTAAAAAGTGAATGTCACTGTGTGCCTATTGGTAGTAAAGTTGATACGATTTATAACGAATTGGAATGGAGGTTATCATTCTCACAAGCCGAGCAACAACTAGTGTGTACCATGAATCATACACAATTTCTATGTTACGGACTCCTGAAAATATTTTTGAAGGAAGTTATCAACTGCTGGGAGGATGAGTTACTGTGTTCATATTACATTAAAACCACAATGTTCTGGATGATGCAATCAGGACAAGTTAGATGGTGCCCGAACAAATTATTGGATTGCTTTTGGAGGTGTTTTAGATATCTTATTCATTGTGTTTATCGTGGAGTTTTCCCAATTTTTTTTATTCCACAAAACAACATGTTCATAAACAAAGTAGTGGGAATTACACGTGATTCTCTTTTACAACAGCTTTATCAGTATTACAGAATGGGTGTGTCCTGTCTACTGCTGAGTCCGACTCTCAGATCACTCCTAGAACCAGCCTTCAGTAGTCCGTCCTATGTGTTATCTCCATCTGAGGGAGAATTCATTGATATTACAGATTTAGATATATGTGGCATGTTTGAAATATTTAGCACAAGTCTTCCTGCTCAAAATATATGGGAATCTTATCTTTATTTAAAATTAATGAACCCACTATCTCGGTTATCAATCTCACCACACCAGTTATTAACATTACAATACTGTATTGCTGAGACACTTGTTCGTTTAGCCTTCATGATGGCAGACAGTACTTCATGTTGCACGCACAAAACTATCTATAACTTAGATACAACAATTCGTGGCATGTTGAAAATGGCAGCAAGACTAGGTTCTGTGTCTTATTTACTTTATCTGGCATTGTATTACTATAGAACAGGGAGATATGATAAAACACTTCATATCACTTTTATAGCAAAACAAAGACTATCACAATCCTTTATTATGTATAATGCAAATGTTGATAGGCAGAGGCACAATGATGATGTAGGTAATATTCCTTTGTCTCGACGAATGAATATAGTTTGGGTGGATGATGTTCGTTTATTTGGAAATATCCCCTGTATTGAAGAAATAAGTTTAGAACAACACGTGAGTCAACAAAATGTAGATACACTCTTAAATGTATCACCGTTTATAATTGTAGAGATCTTGTCAGTGTTATCTCACTATAGAGTGGGTAATAGATCTCAGTGTTTACAGTCACTGACAGACCTACAGACACTGCTGCTCTATGATGATGGGAGATACGTTCCTTTATTCACCAGAGACATATCCTGGCAGATACTAGGAATCTGTCAACATGTTGTGGGAGACTTACACGGGGCATTAAGGTCTTATGAAGAGTCGCTCAGACAGGATCCATATCACAGAATAAAAGAAGCTACAGATTATAGAATAAAATGTGTTAAACAACAATTACAGAGAAATGTGTACAAGTAAAAATAATATGTTTCTCAATGTTTCTGTCATAATTTAATGAGTTGAAGGTCAGGTAGCTGCACTTGTTTAATAAAGTTGTAAAAAGACTTGTATAAAGGTAATCTACCCTCAACGTAAAGTAGACTGCAATGATTCGAACAAACTTGAATCTACACTACATAAGGATGATTCCACATGAGTTTCATCTTTCCTGGCCCAGTGGTTCTTGAGAAGAAGATTTTTTAAAAATGTCATTAATTTTTCTCTAATTCATAATTATCTCCCCTTGGAAAAGAGCGTGGTCCTTCATTTGAACAAACTTGAATTCCCCTTACCCAAGGATACTTAGTAGCAAGTTTGGTCGAAATTGGCTTCGTGGTTCTTGAGAAGAAGATGAAAATGTGAAAAGTTTACAACGACAATGATAACAACGACACCGACAGACAACGGACAAATTTCGATCAGAAAAGCTCACTTGAGCCTTTGGCTCAGGTGAGCCTTTGGCTCAGGTAAGCTAAAAATTTTCTGAAAGATTCTTTCAATGAGTCCCTCCTCTCTAATTTTAGCCAAATTGCTAAAAAAAAAAAAAACTAGTCACACAGAGAAACCCTACCAAGGATCATTATACTGTTCATTGCTTTTAATTTTGATAAATCATCCTACAATTTTCTACTGTGAATTAAAATTCCAAAATTTTACATAAAGATATTTTTTAGAGAGGTTACATCTTCACCACTTGAAAAAAAACCCAGGTTTATGATATAATAAACATCATTTTTCATATCTATTATTAAAATATATATATCATATCACGTTATAATCGTTCTCCTTTTGAAAGCAGCAGTTTAGATTTGTTCTTTCTGCATTTAAATGAATTCCCCATCCTTTTTCTATGGAAAGCATGGGCCTCCCTCAACAGCGGGGGTCTCTGATGAATCCAAAAGATCCCCTGAGGTGTAAACTCCCAGTGTCACGTCTATGTCTATCTCAAATCCCCAAGCCATTCCAATCACTGACATCCAACTTGTAAATGTTTTTGATGGCATAAATAATTTGTGAATTTTAAAATCTCTTTTGTCCATATCATGTAACATTTCCATTTTTTAAATTTTTTTTCTCTGTGATAACTTTTAGAAAGTTAGTAGATTTGATTTCTTGTTCATTCTTCCGGCAAGTAAATTTCGACATGCGATACAATTGGGGCTTAGGTACGTTTTCAAGCCCAGAAGGCTCATTCGAGATTCGAGATTCGAAATACGAGATTCGAGATTCGAAATACGAGATTCGAAATTCGAGATTCGAAATTCGAGTTTCGAGATTCAAGATCCAAATTAACCAACCAAAAGGCAGGTTCAACTTTGATTACTCCCCTTTATTATGTTTTACTATCAAGAAATCGTTGAATATACTCATATCAAATGGGTCATTTGCTTAAATGATAATGCAAGAAAAAAAAGATATATGTATTAAAACGAAATAAAAATGAATTTTAGGTTACATTTTAGAAAAAAATATATAAATTCTTATTTTTCCTCATTAAACAAAACAATTGATACGTATATAGAATATTATATGGTCTTATCGTTGAATTGCGGATTTCTTAGGTCGACATTTTTTAAAATAAGAACATTGATGAGGGAGAAAATTATTATTTATATGACATACTAATGAGAGTACATTTCTTTACATTGTGCCCCCCTCCCCCCATAATTTTATAATTTTGCCGATATATAAATACTATGAAATCATAACTACTATTATGCTTGTGCCCCCTCAATTTTGTGCCCCCTCAATAAAAATATCTGATGACTTTTTTTGCTTTGTTTTTGGTTGTCAAGAAATATTTGGTAGTTGAAAACTGAAAATGTATGGCTGTGCCCCCCCCCAATGAAATGAGCATTATGGTTTTACTAGTATATTTAAGTCTTTGACCAAGTCGTGCGAGACCCGAGCGGTTTCCTTTTAAATCATTATCGAATATATATATTTATTTTATCCATGCATCACAAGTTTGACAATGAATATTGATTAGAACACTTTTGTCCCCCCCCCCCCCGTTCCCACTTGGCCATTCCCGTAATATTTTTCCGATATAATATACTATAGAAAACAGTAACTTTATGCTTATGTCCATTCAAAAATAAATCCCAATTACCATGATAACCCCTATTTTTCTTCGGTTGGGGTGGGGATAGGTTGATTAACAATGATTTTTTTTTTAATTTATTATTCCCAATGGGTTATTATCTTTATTAAGCATGCATGTTTCAGCCATCCGTATTTAAGGGGCTGTCTATTGGGTTCATAAACTTGGTCACTGGCCACTTTCTAATACCGTGTCACAAACACTATCCACCTTGAAACCCGTAGTACTAATTATTACAGAGACGAAGCATCGGTTTTGAAAGTGGGGTGGGGGTGGGGGGAGACAAAAATATTATTTCAAACTGAAAATAAAAACTGACAGAAAAAAATTGTCCAAACCCGAAAATCCTATTTCGGGGCGTGAAAGGGGGCGGGGGGGATCGGACTTCATTTAGTACATAATTTCTTTTAAAACACAACTAGTGAAACTTCTTTGACTATAGTGCACCACCACCACTGTACCAAAACGCGCGTGTGTGTGGGGGGGGGGGGGGGCTTGGCAACCGACCTTTCGATGAACATTTACAATAGTAAATAAAATATGTTTGGAAAAAGAAGGGGGATGTATGTACTTTTAATCTAAGTTTACTATTTTGTCAACAACCCTGTATCCAAAGTAGATAACACGAAATATATATAATATTCTTTATATAAATCTCTTATGACATTTAAGAAGCTATTATAAATTAATTAAGCAAATCAAGCGGACCAAAATCCAATATTTCTTTAGATTTCGTTTTGATAATATATAACACTTTTTCTTGCGTTGTAATTATGTTCCCCAAACGAAGTTGGGGAACATATTGTTTTTACTCTGTTTCTTATTATTATGTTCCCCAAACGAAGTTGGGGAACATATTGTTTTTACTCTGTTTCTTATTATTATTATTTTTCTTCTTCCTGGGCACTTTTTTGTCCGCGAATGATCTCGTAAACTACACATCCAACTAAGGTGAAATCTTTTTAGTGTCAGTAGACATGTTATGTAGATTTGCGGAACAAAGGTCATTTTGCGCGCACGTGCTTGCAAGAGCGCGCACGTGCAACATGTGAAATGACCAATGTAATGAATATAGCCTTAACTTTTTCAATTTTTGATGAAATGCTTTGAAACTCATAATATAAGGATATATTAGGAGCATAGACATGATGACATGTTCAAAATAGCAAGATCTCACGCGCATGCATGTGCGCTTTGCTGTGATTGGCTGAAACTAAAGTCTCAATATCTCTCTTGTTTTTTGACGAAACCCTTTGAAATTTTGAACATAGCTATGCATAAGGATATCCTACAACATGATATATAGCAATTATCATGAAAACACGTGCATACACGTGCGGTGCAATCTGATTGGCTGAAACTTTAAATAGCTATAACTCCTTTTGTTTTCAACCAAACATAATGGGATTTGGAACATAGATAGATATAATGGACTCCTACAAGAAGGTATGGTCAGCATGCACATGCAAACACGTGCCTGTACGTGCGCTGCAATCTGATTGGCTGAAACTTCAAACGGCAATAACTTCCTTAGTTTTCAACCAAACGGGATGTGATTTAGAACATAGGTAGATGTAACTGACATCTACAAGAAGGTATAGTCACCACATGCTCATGTATGCACGTGCATGCACGTGAAATGAGTAAAATCAAAAATACACTTGAATAAACGTAATTTCTTATACTTTTGGATTAAATACTAAGTCTTTAATATTTAGTATATTATAATATATAGATTGTGTAGACAAGATGATATGGTCATTACGCACATGCATTCAATTGCGCCCGCGTGTAATGCTAAAATTTAAATGAACTTCGTACACTTCTGGGTAAACCTTGTTAAAGTCTCAAATGCATAGTGTTTGTATTATTTAATGAAGCTTACAGGGAATATGGCACCAAAAGGGAGTTGGGGAGCGTTTGGGGAACATCTGTAACGGTCCCCGTTACAATTAGCACTAGTTATTATTATTTTTCTTCTTCTTCTTCTTCTTCTTCCTGGAACTTTTTTGTCCGGGAATGATCTTGTAAACTGTTCGTCCGATGTAGGTAAAACCTTTTTAGGGTTAGTAGACATGTTATGTAGATTTGCGGAATCAAGGTCATTTTGCGCGCACGTGCTTGCAAGAGCGTGCACGTGCAACACGTGAAATGACCAATATAATAGATATAGCCATAACTTTTCTATTTTTAGATGAAATGCTTTGAAACTCATAATGTGAGGAAATATTAGTAGTATAGACATGACGACATGGTGAAAATAGCAAGATCTCACGCGCATGCACGTGCACTTCGCTCTGATTGGCTGAAACTAAAGTCTCAATATCTTTCTTGTTTTTTGACGAAATCCTTTGAAATTTTGAACATAGCCATGCATTAGGATATCCTACAACATGAAATAAAGCAATTATCATGAAAACACGTGCATGCACGTGCGCTGCAACCTGATTGGCTGAAACTTTAAACAGCTATAACTCCCTTGGTTTTTAACCAAACAGGATGGGATTTGGAACATAGATAGATATAATGGACTTCTACAAGTAGGTATGGTCACCATGCACAGGCAAACACGTGCGTGTACATGTGCTGCAATCTGATTGGCTGAAACTTAAAACAGCTATAACTCCCTTGGTTTTCAACCAAACAGGATGGGATTTGGAACATAGATAGATATAATGGACTTCTACAAGTAGGTATGGTCACCATGCACATGCAAACACGTGCGTGTACATGTGCTGCAATAATCTGATTGGCTGAAACTTTAAATAGCTATAACTTCCTTAGTTTTCACCCAAACGGGGTGGAATTTAGAACATAGATAGATGTAATGGACTTCTACAAGAAGGTATGGTCACCATGCTCATGTATGCACGTGCCTGCACGTGAAATGAGTAAAATCAAACATACACTTGAATGAGCGTATTTTTTAAATAATTCTGGATTAAATACTTTAATATTCAGTGTATTAAAAATATAGATTGTGTAGACAAGATGATATGGTCATGACGCAAATGCATTCACATGTGCACGCGTACAATGTTGAAGTTTAAATGATTTTTGTACACTTCTTTGTAAATGTTGTTAAAATCTCAGATGCATAGAGTTTGTCTTATTTAATGAAGCTTACAGGGAATATGGCATCAAAAGGGAGTTGGGGAGCGTTTGGGGAACATCTGTAACGGTCCCCGTTACAATTAGCACTAGTTTAATCAAATGACCTCCTCGGTATTAAAATACTCAACGATTTCTTAATAGTAAAAAATAATAAAGGGGAGTAATTGAATCTCAAATCGCCTTTTGATTGGTTATTTTGGATCTTGAATCTCGAAACTCGAATTTCGAATCTCGTATCTCGAATGAGCCCTCTGGGCTTTCGTACTTAGGAGGCCTAATGTGCATGAAAATCAGGGTTCTTAAATTTATGTGCGCCATGGATAAACGAGGTGCGCCATGGTTAAAATCGGCATGATTAAATTTTATTGCATTTCAGTCCTGAAACCTACTTTTTTAATGACTTGAGTAGTTAATTGTGTTTATACTACGACTGCCGTGCACCTGGTATGCCTCGAAGATAAGCAGACTGTGCTAAACAAACACGTGTTAATCAGCGACTATGCTGTGAAACATGACAATCAATGCAGAGTCAATCAGCTGATCAGCAGATGATCAATATTTTAAGAGTTTATTATCCTGTACATTTTGGGGAGCTTCAACATGTTCACTATATTTAGATTAGAAATATAACGGATTTATAAATGACAGTTTCGAGCATGTTAATCGTCATGTATGCTGTGTCAGAAAAAATACTTTGTAAAAATTTAATATTCCTCTGTAGTTAATCAATTTCCAATGCTCCGTTTTTAAAGCTGTAATTTTATATCTTTTTGCTGAAATGTGCATGGGCCTACGTCTCAGTCGCCGTCTTTGCATGCTTAGTTTTAATCGCCGTATACTGTGGTTTCATCAATATTCGTTGAGCACCAATTTTCGTAAATTTCGTTGTTGAGCAGATCCACGAATTCAAATGTTCATTGAAATACGAAATATGACATTCATTTGTATAAGCAATGCTTTTGTCCACGAATCCTCGAAAACGTCTGTTTTATAAAATCCACGAAAATTTATGCCAACGAAAATTGATGAAACCACAGTAGTCGTAGTTTTAGAGTTACATCCCGTTCTTATGAAACTCGCGTGGCGCTATTTTTAGCACTGGACACGTGGAGAAGTAAACAAAACTTGGAGAAAAATGCAATATCTAGAAAAATAGAATGTTTAGAAAAAAGGGACACTGGTCCAAATGTTCCTTTGTATGTTACCTTAAGAAAATACTACCCATTCATCAGATTTAGTTATATTGAAACAAAACATTTCATTCAACAGGCTACAATTCTTATAATTATTAATTTCTGAACAATATTGCCTGGATGCCATGGTTATTGACTTACTTTATCAACATTTTTTCTTTAAATTCCTTTAGAATGTTACTACAGTTTTGGGCAAATTTTGGTACATTTGTGAAGTACGATACAGGATAAATCCTTTTCAATAAATTATTATTTTAACTTTAACAAGAAGCCCACGGGCCTTATAGGTCACCTGAGCATTATGCAACAACTTTCCAGTTACAGTGTATTGAATTTGATTCATGTTTTAAGCCAGATGCTATATGACATTCACAATTTTGAAAGGGCACCATTGATCATCATAACAATAAACTTAGCAGTTGCTTAGCTTGGTTACTGAATACCCATACGCAGGGTAGGGGAACAAATATGCACTCCAACTAATCAGTAATATTCATCAATAATCAGTAGTGCCCCTAACACTCTGACATAAACCCCTGATCCTAGGTTGCGCAAATTTTTAAAAGGCACCCTTAAAATTGTCTATCAAAAAGTAAATAAATGTTTTATAGATACAAAGGACCAGATTTCAAACAATTAATTCATTTTCAGTATATAAGTAGAGCCCCCCCCCCACCCCTGACCCTGGGTCCTTGAAATTCACAATTCTGCAAGATTAGGGCCCTTGTTCATCATAACTATATAGGTAGTTCATCTGCTTCATACCCAGAGACAGAGAAGAAAATTTTCAAAGATTTAATGTATTTTCACTATATAATCAATAGAGCCCCACCCTAACACCAGAACCCCAGACCCTGGGGCAATGAAATTCATAATTTTAGAAGCGGCATTCTTGCTCATCATAACTATGCACTTACTTAGTTTATTTAATACCTAGGAGCAGAGAAGAAGATTTTCAAAGAATTCATGAATTTTCACTTTAAAATCAATAAAGCCCCCCCCCCCACCAGAACCATTGACCCTGGGGCCATAAAATTCACAATTTTTGTAGAGGCACTCTTGCTCATCATAACTATGCACTTAGTTATTTTATTTGATACCTTGGAGCAGAGAAGAAGATTTTCAAAGAATTCATGTATTTTCACCATATGATCAACAGAGCCCCTCCCCCCAACACCAGAACACTTGACCCTGGGGCCATAAAATTCACAATTTTGGTTGAGGCACTCTTGGTCATCATCACTATGTACTTAGTTAATTTATTTAATACCTAGGAGCAGAGAAGAAGATTTTCAAAGAATTCATGTAATTTCACTATATAATCAATAGAGCCCCCCCCCACCCCCAACACCAGAACCCTTGATGATAGGGCCATTAAATTCACAATTTTGGTTGAGGCACACTTGTTCATCATAACTATGCACTTAGTTAGTTTATATAATACCTAGGAGCAGAGAAGAAGATTTTCAAGGAATTCACATATTTTCACTATATAATCAATAGAGCCCCCCCCCCACACACACACCAGAACCCTTGACCCTGAGGCCATAAAATTCACAATCTTGGTTGAGGAACACTTGCTTATCATAAATATGTACTTAGTTTATTTAATACCTAGGAGCAGAGAAGAAGATTTTCAAAGAATTCATGTATTTTCACTTCATAAACAATAAAGCCCCCCCCCCCCCACCAGAACCGTTGATGCTGGGGCCAAAAAATTCACAATTTTTGTAAAGGCACTCTTGCTCATCATAACTATGCACTTAGTTAGTTTATTTTATACCTATGAGCAGAGAAGAAGATTTTCAGAGAATTCATGTAATTTCACTATATAATCAATAGAGCCCCCCCACCAGAACCCTTGACCCTGGGGCCATAAAATTCACAATTTTGATAGAGGCACTCTTGCTCATCATAACTATTTACTTACTTAGTTTATTTAATACCCAGGGGCAGAGAAGAAGATTTTCAAAGAAATCATGTATTTTTACTATATAATCAATAGAGCCCCACCCTAACACCAGAACCCCTGACCCTGGGGCCATAAAATTCACAATTTTTGTAGAGGCACTCTTGCTCATCATAACTATGTACTTAGTTGGTTTATTTGATACCCAGGAGCAGAGAAGAAGATTTTCAAAGAAATAATGCATTTTCACTATATACTTATTTAGCCCCGCCCTAGCACTAGAACCCCTGACCCCAGGGCCATGAATTTCACAATTTCGGTAGAGAACTTAATGTTGATTACAACCATGCAAATAGTTTGACTGCTTGATGTCCAGGAGTAAAGAAGAATATTTTTAAAGATTGCATTAATTTGCCCAGGGGGGCAGGGATCATGAAATTTTGTTCCCCTTCACCCATAGATGCTTTGTGCCAAATTTGGTTGAAATTGGTTCAGTGGTTGCAGAGAAGAAGCTGAAAATGTTCAAATGTTAACACCCGAATCACAACACACGACGGACGACGACGGACGAAAACGGATAGCAATAGGTCACCTGAGTTTACTCAGGTGACCTAAAAATGTTAGTTATTCCATTGTTTTGTGTTGCAGTGGTTAAGTTTAAAAATTGTAAAAACCAATCATTTATTAATGAAGATTCGGATGTCAAACATGCATTTGTGTTTTCGGCTACATTTCGCCTTCGCGCAGCTTCCTCCATGGTTAAATTTTTAAATGTGGAGAACCCTGGTAAATCTTGTGTGGTTGTCTTTCTGACATAAGAGGCCTTGTGCAAATTCAAATTTATTATACTACATTTTTAAAATCTAAATTTACTGTTAATTTCACAATGAAATGGAAATATAAAGAATCACTGTCTAGTTAGTCGAGTATACCCATTATGCAATACCCCATGTTTCCAACTATCATTGATGCCCTGGCATACTCCACTAACTAGACAGTGATTTCCTGAATACGTTCCAAAAATATTATCATTATTTAACAAAAAAATTTACTGCATGGGTGATTTCTTTACAGACTTTTTACTGATTACATTTATTGTAATCTCAACAGCCAGTACCATTCATAAATCTTGCAAAATGAAGTTATGAATGACATAACAAACCTAAGGAGGAGAGTTGTAGGTCAAGGGCAGCCAATTTCTGAGGGTGGTCCTGGAGGTGGATCCGAATATCTTCACTCTGCAGTGGTGGAAGCTTTGCTAGCCTTGATTTATCACCAAGAGGAACCTGCAACAGAACTTCTTTGAGAACTTCTTTAGTGTATGCTGATATATCATGCATATATCAGAAATTTTGACATTTTTGACAGAAGGGGATAGGTACCTGATTTACCCACTGTTAAAATACCATTGATAAATTCCTGATTCCCAGTTTTGATTCCGAATCTGAGATACCTATCCCCAGTACATCTGTCCCAATGATGTTATTGTAGAACTCTTCTGCTTCATGACTAGGCATCACATACACAGGAAGCTTAGAGCTGATGAAAATCACCAACATTACATCCTGGTTTCCCTGTAACAAAATTAAATGTTAGTGATCTAAATATCTGGATTTTTTTTACTTTAAAAGTAAATACGCAGGTACAATAAGGCTTCCCAGAGAACATTGTAGTGTACTCTGTGCATGAACTTCTCTGAACTACAAATGTATGACGTCATAATTGAAAATGACGTCAAGTCACTGCATACTTGAGCTGTAATGATGGGGAGAATGTCATAAACTTTACACCTTTATTTAAAACTGCATATAAAATTGTAGAATTCTAGTTTAAAATAAACGTGTTTTTATCATTTTTTAAACTGTAATATATCCGAATGATATAGATAACCTTGCTTTGTTACTCTTGTTTAAGAGTCAGCGTGTTCAAACTCCGTACGAAAATATACGTTTGACATTTACCCTTTTTTATACCCGTGGACAAAGACACAATTCAAAATATGTGTGTAAAAGAGCCTGGCGCAGGTTGTTTATGAGGATTTTTTAAACATCTTTTATTGAATTATGTAAAAGAGTTTCCACTCTAACTGAATCTTGCTTGGGAAATATGTATGGTGGCTTTGTTTTAAAACAGTTGAAGATATTCGGTGGAAATACCCTCAGATTTGCCGGTAAGTTGAAGTTAATCTGAAATAAATTGTTCCAAAGAAATAGTATAACTTTTCCCAAGCACATTTCGGTTTCACAAGGATGCAACGAGTTTATTTATGTGACAAATGTAAATAATAATTGTGCTAACAACCTGCGCCGAAGAGATTAATGTGAAACATTTCAAAAAAGAAGAAATGACCGTCACGTGATCAACAAGGTCATGTGACATCGTAACAAATATGTTTATATATAGCCTTGGGGATCCTCTGTATGAATTTGGCGCACTGAAGTACATTACTTAAAAATAAAACTATAAAAATCAACTTTGCAAAAGAGTGTTACGTTTTAAATGCATAATAAGCTCCGGGTAGCCTTAACAGTACTGCGTAATGAATTTTTGCAAGAATTGGTCGTTTCCCCCGATTCCAAAAGCAACATTTTTTGGGGGGTGGGGGTGTCACCTTTAAATGAAAAATTTAAAAAAAATTGACATTTTAAAAAGAGACTAAGGCATGAAGAAAAACATCAAAGAATAAAAATTGCTGGTTTATGACCATCAAATTAATTTTCTAATTAGTACCTCTACATAGTCAATCCTCTCTAGTCCAGTGATGAACACTGTGTGGTCAGGTTTCAGTAAGTAACAATGGGGGACAATCTTACGCGTAGGGAGGATGAGCTTCAGTTCCCCAGGTGTCAGCTCTGAGTGGATCTACAATAATCAGGAACATACTCTCCAAGAAAGAGTGATCTTCCTATTCCCTAACTTTATATATTCAACATAACTTGTCTATTTCTCTATCTAGGAAACTCACAGAATTTCAAAATAAGTTGAAAGAACTTCTGAGTTTATCAAGTTTATAAATAACATGAACTGTGAAATATTAGTACCATTTTCACAATTTTCTAGAGAAAATGTGTCTCTTTTAAAATATGGTAAACTATGTTTATAAGTTTTAAATGACGTAAAACAACATGAATCAGAAAGGAATGTAAAATATTGAAAATTTAATTCTGAAGACATTTCGTTGTATTTAATTTGTCAAAGTTAAAACAACAGACAAAACAAAATAAGTTGATTCTTACCTCGTACTTCCTATCACTATTTCAAAATAAGTAATAGTTCCTTGCTCTTTTCGCTATTTTGTCCATGATTCTTGTGTGTTTCATTTGCACTGTCTTTGGACCTAATCATTTCATTCTGAAAAGGGGAAGAATCATATCTTAATCCTTAGTTAAATTGTCTTTATATGTTGTATCGTGTACTATTTATTTGGCGTTGTGTTTTCATACTTAAATTCCTACTGTACAGGATTTCTTGGTGAATTCCAGATCGTCTCAGACAACTCTTCCTGAGGAATGTTAAACAAATCTGTTTCGCAGCTATATGTAGGAGCATTAACTCTTTAAATAATTTTTTTAAATAATATTTTGTCTTTATTCAAGTTTCTTAAATATATATATTACACTTAATCATATTTGATGTAATAGTGTTTTCTAAAAGAATGTTTCTCGACGAATTAGATTCCACTTATTTACATGAAAGTATATTATCATTAAACTCTTTACAACAACTCTGAAGATTCCCATTCTCTCTTTCATGGACCCAAATACATACGTATACATGTATTATCAATCACTATTTATGTTCTCCATCATTTCACTCATCAGAACATTAAACATTTCTATCCTAAGTATCCTAGAGAATAAACAACATAACACAGATATAGAATGTGCTGAGCGCCCATCAACCACTTTATTCACTATATGTACAATAAACACGCCAAATTATCAGAGCTGTTCTGGTAGCAGACTTCAAAAAGTATTCCCAATTAAAAACTACAAAATACAATGTAAAATATTGAACATACAAGTCAAAATTACGCATCATTTTAACAATATTTACATAGCTTTTTGAAAGTTAATTGATTTGATTTCTTGATAATTCTACTGAAATGTAAATTTCTCCAATCGAAAAGTGAGAAGCTATGTAGGCCTTACTACGCATGCAAATTATACCACGTTTCCAGCAATCATTGGTGCCCTGGCAAAACCTAACAAACTAAATAGTGATTCCTTAAATAAATTTTAAAAAGCGTATTTGAAACTGGTTGATTGCTCGTCGACGACTACTTTCAGCCTGACCATCATCTTATATACTGTGACCTAACAACTATACTTTTCATTATACTTATGTACGTACAGAAATAATTCGAACAGCTAATAATAGAAAATAATTTATACTATAGTTTACGTGTGTAAAAACAACGAAAACGAAACAAGGTTTTCTTGGTATCGGTTTTTCCCTTTAACTGATAACACACAGACCTCCATTTGCAGAGAGAATATAAGACACCAAAATAGCGCTACATGTATGTATATATTTATTTAAAAATCTAGCGAATATGTTGCATTTCTAAAAAAATATTATATAAAACTATTACTCTCCTTTCTAAAATGATCAAATAAACATTGCTTATTTACAGAATGCACCACATTACCCGTCTATCAGAGGTCCTATATGTTGGTCTGTGTCGTAAAATAGGGACACCGACAGAAGTGGCCATCAGAAGGGACGTGTTGGACATGGATGAGATGATAAAGAAACAATATCATAAACATGAAGGATATATTGTGATGCGGAGTGGTAGTTATAGAGAGGGATTTAGGCTGAGATCATCTGACAGGGATATAATGCTCTGGAGTTGTAATTATAAATTAATAACTGACTTTTCCCAGTCTAGGTTTTATGATGCAATAAAACATGTTCTTGTGCTAATGGAAGATGCAGATACACCGCCAGGATTTGTTAAATTGCGCCTCCTGACACCTGTTCGACAAAACGGCACGATATCATGCCGTGTTTCAATGCCTAATGGCAGAGCTTATTTATCAAGTCGTCTGTGGAGAGAACATTATTTTCAGTTCTGTATTGAGCCGCAAGAGTCCTACACTGAAAATTACAGACTCCATGGTCCTTGTATCAGTGGTTTCTTTGGACCTATTGAAACCGATGAAGCTTCTTGCTTAGCCACATTTCCTTGGCCTAAACTATTAGGAAGTTGGGCTGACAGATGCCAGAGACACACCTGGCCGCCAGTACCTGTGTTAGAAAAAATCCTAAAAAATGAATGTCACTGTGTGCCTATTGGTAGTAAAGTTGATGCGACCTCTAATGAATTGGAATGGAGATTATCATTTTCTCAAGCCGAGCAACAACTAGTGTGTACCATGAATCATACACAATTTCTATGCTACGGACTCCTGAAAATATTTCTGAAGGAAGTTATTAACTACAGAAAGGAACCATTACTGTGTTCATATTACATGAAGACCACAATGTTCTGGATGATGCAATCAGGACAAGTTAGATGGTACCCGAACAACTTACTGGATTGCTTTTGGTTGTGTTTAAAATATCTTATTCATTGTGTTTATCATGTAGTTTTCCCTAACTTTTTCATTCCGCAGAACAACATGTTCATAAACAAAGTTGTTGATGGTGCACGTGAATCTCTTTTAGAAAAGCTTTATCAATATTACAGAATGGGCGTGTCCTGTTTACTGCTGAGTCAGACTCTCAGATCAATTCTAGAACAAGCCCTCAGTAGTCCGTCCTTTGCGGTATCTGTTGCTGTGGGAGAATTCATGAGTATTGCAGATTTAGATTTATGTGGCATAAATGAATTACGTAATTTAAGTTTTCCTGCTCAAAAAATATGGGAATCTTATCTTTTTTTAAAATCAACTATTATACTCTCTCGATTATTAATCTCACCACACCAATTATTAACATTACAGCACTGTACTGCTCAGACTCTTGTTTCTTTAGCCTTCATAATGGCGAATGATACTTCTTGTTCCACACATAAAAATATCTATAACATAGATACAATAATATGTGGCATGTTGAAATTAGCAACAAGACAAGGTCCTGTGTTTTTTTCACTTTATCTTGCATTGTATTACTACAGAACAGGGAGGTATAATAAAACACTTCAAATCACTTATCTCACTAAACAAAGACTGTCCAAGGCCTTTATTATCTATAATCAAACTGTCGGTAGGTACAATGAAACTTTTGGTAATCTACATCTGTCCAGAAGAATGAAGATAGCCTGGGTGTATGATGTTTGTTTAGATGAAAATATCCCCTTCATTGAAGAATTACGTTTAGAACAGAATGTGAGTCAAAAGCATGGAATGCCAGTCCTACAATTATCCCCGTTTGTAATGGTAGAGATGATGTCTGTATTACCTCACTATAGACTGGGTAATAAATCTCGGTGTTTACAGTCACTGACAGACCTACAGACACTAATGCTCTATGATGACGGTACATATGTTCCTTTAATTAAGAGAGACCTATCCTGGCAGGTACTAGGGATCTGTCAGCATGTTCTTGGAGACTTACACGGGGCGTTACGGTCTTATGAAGAGTCGCTCAGACAGGAACCATTTCATAAAATAAAAGAAGCTACAGATTTCAGAATAGAATGTGTAAGACAACAGTTACAGAGTAATGGACACATGTAATTATATGTTTTTCATTGTCTTTATTGTAATTTAAAGAGTTGAAGATCAGGAAGCGACGTTTTTGTGAAAATAAAATACTCTACGAAAAAATAAATTTCTCCTTTACTTTGAAAATTGCACTTACTTTTACAAATTTGACCCTTCTGACGGATTAATTATAAATTTATTTATTACATTTTGAGAACTGTTGAGCGACTTTCAATGAATATTGTTTTACAATATATAACTTTGTATAATTTAAGGCCAAAATAATCCAACTTGCACAATGTTGTTAGAGTGTGAATAGTACGTTAATGTTCTAGTATTGCATCATCATCTGTGAAAATATTACAGCTCTAGATCTCATTAATTTTTCTTGCAAAATCATAAATGTTTTGCACTTTTTTCATTTCAAAACATTTGATAAAGGCCGAGATGTAGATTAAACTGGTGTCATAATTCGCTCTTATATAAAAGTAGACTGGATATCTGTATATTATATACATATTTATTTTCGAAATTAAATTTTGAAAGTACATGTCTTCGAATACCTAGAAAACTTCAAGGCGTTTATAAATATCTTTATAACGTGAATTTTTTCAATTTATTTATTTGTTTGTGAATAAAGGAACCTGTTTTTCAAGACACTATTTATTTTAAGCAACTCACTTACTTAAACAAACTATGATGAACATATCAGTAACACAGTATTTAACGTATTTAAACAAACTGTTAATGATTTAAATTATGTATTCCTATATGTATATTAATTTATATTTATGATACAATGATATAGTTTTCAATTAGATTAATTATCTTTGTTTTTGTGTATGTGGCCCTACCAACTGTATAACCATTACAATACCCGGTAATCAACCTATTCATCTACATGCCTGTTTGTCCACGGAAACTTTAACTATATCTTGGGTTAGAGCGATGGCTTTCATATTTCAAATGAGTATTTCTTGTGATGATACCTTTCTTTTGATACCAATATATTGACCTTGACCTTCCACTTTTGCAATTAAACCTTTGCCAAAACTTTTGAACAAATTATTTTAAGACTTTTATACTTGAAATGTGTATTCATTGTGACAGGACCTTTCCTTGTGACTCAAGAGGAACCATTAATTATTTAACCGATTTTCTGTTCGTTATCTAAGTCACAATATGAAGTGGTACGGGATTGCACGACCTTCATCTGAGAAACAGGAAAAATTTATTTTTGTTATTTTTGGTACAGTTTATTACTTAGATATTGTATAAATTTATTGTTCATGTAAGCAACAATTTTCTTAAACATATAGATCTATGTATTAATCTTTTAAATAAAGCATGCATTTTTATTCGATCTAGTCATCTTATCTCTCGATTCGTTAATTCTGGGGTATCTTCAGTTCTACTTCAACGTTAACATTCTGGTCGGAATAATTATAATGAGCACTAAAACACAAAGTATAAAAAAGTATTTGTTTTCTTATTTGTTGTACCCTCTTGAGAATTTTTCAAAAAAATACAAAAGCCGTACAGCTATAAATTAAGACAAGTGCTTGAATTTTGAAATCTCATAAATTTTAAAGTGTTATTAATATTGTATTGATTTATATTTAAATTTTACTGATGAATATTGTCACAAGATAGCTGTACAAACACATGTACCCAGCTTTCAGTTATACCTTTTTGCTAAAGGCTTACAGCTCTCAAGGTTTGTATTGTCTTACCTAATCAAATATTCGTTATCCATGATATCTACGATGTGAAGCATGAACATTTTCATGTATAGTCATCCATGAACATAGTTAATAACTATAAATCCATCTTTAATACAGGATTTTTTTACAGCAGCTTATAATGATCTTCCTAGAATTTCCTCTAAAGTAAAATAAAAAACAGACTCCGTGACATTAACTCATGTTGGTCGCCCACGAGGCGCAGTGGTTAGAGCGTCTGCTCTATTGTCGAGAAGATAAAAATTGATCTTTACCATATGCGTGAAAAATTCTCGAGAGTGACGTTGAAAGATATTCAATTTAATCAAATCCCCACACTCCAAATTTCATTTATGTTTTTTGCTTCCTCTTTTGTTTTTATGCGTGTCAGTTTAATTGTGTTCCTTTCATTTTGCTATTTTTTCTTTGCAAATCTTTCCAGTATAAAAACTAACTAGTGTGTCATTGGTCACCTAGTAACCATGGAAATAAATATTTCATCCAAAAAAGTCACAAAGAAACGAAATAAATGATTTAACACAGGGTGAAATGCCATCTCACTACTCTATTCAGAATTACAATTTGGTAACAGGATACGGAATTCTTTACAAAATTGAAAACAATGCAAATCAAAAAAAGAAACAATTATGAAATGCAAAAAAAAGAAATTCCTACCCCTTATTACTGTTCAAAAAAAAAAAAAAAAAAAAAAAAAAAGGTTTCATATTGTGCAGGATTTTAAAAATTTCTCACACGTGCAAATACTAATCAATTAACTATAAAATAACCATCACATTGTGTTGGAAAAATTATTTTCAATAAACATACACACTTCGACCTCATTTCTGTTCATTTCTTATACCTGTAAAGGGTCTTATTTTAAAAAAAGGAAATAAATAATACAAGAAGAAATATAAGAAAGATCTTAGTACAATGTTTTTTTTATTCTTATCAAATCTAAATTGCATTAATGTTCATGCCAGCACCTACTGCGACACGGGGCCTCGGTTTATACGGTCTCATCCGAAGGACCGGTCTCCACGTCCCGCAGTGGGATTCGAACCCGCTTACTTCGCGACTCTAGAGCAGACGCTCTAACCACTGCGCCACGCGGGCTGTGAACTGGCTAGACAAGCAATATATAATTCTTAGACCTTTGCCGATCCAGACAAATGCTTTTCTATAGATATCTAAAAAGCTAATCAAAGTTTTTTTTTTACATAATCATATAGAATGTGAAACAGTCTCGTATCTTTGTACCAAAGAAAACTTACAATTTATTTAACCAGGGTGAAATACTTCTTAATAGACTCAGTGAAACATAACATGACGTACAAATCAAAATATAGTATTTTACGAACTTAAACACTCAATTTTGATTGTATTTATTTAACAAATTAGCTATCTACGCTACCGGATAATCTTAGTTTGCAGAAAACAATCATATTGATTCTGATTACCAAACACAGACTTCCTGTAAAATGCAGGGTAGATTTTTGACATCAGGGGTATTGAGGGTCTCCAGGTAAATAACACCGTTTCTTAGACCCCCACCCTCCTCTGATGGACTCCAGGTAAATAACGCCAATGTTAGGTAGACCACCACCACCACCACCAACCGCCTCAAGTAACCGTAGGATAAATTAAACAAATTGTCTTTAAACCAATCATTACATGATTTCAATTATTTTCAGTTCATAATTAACTGTGTATTCACTTTAGACCAACTTACCCCCGCTGATGCAGAATATTTATTTTTATGTCTTGGGAATCGAAGATTCAGGGGTATACTTTCATCCATTGGTTTTTAGCCCTATCCATCTGTCTGTATGTCTACATTTTGAATTCAGAAAAATTGTGTACATGTACAAGTGTAGCAACTTCAAAATGTTATCTTTCCAGGGATTTCTCTAATAATATAAGCAACAAACTCCATGACATTTACTTATTTTGTTCGGTACAAGAAGAAACTTGGGTGCAGTATTATCAGAGTTTAAAATCTGTGGTAAATGTGAAGTTCACATGGATCCCTGATAAATTTTAAAGTCTATATAAATGAAAGAAATCTGGCAAGTACTTTAGACGTATATTAACCCCATCCCATACATGCCCTTTTTGTTTTTGTTTTTGTTTCCTCTTTTTCTTTTTGTTGGTTTGCTTTGTGTGGGTGAAGATGTTTTATTCTTTTTTTTATTTCGTTCATTTTTGTTTCAAATTTGCAAGTAAAAATTAAAAACTAAATAATATGTCCTTGTTCACATAGGAAATAAATATTCAATAAAAAGAAGGTACGGACAAGGAAATAATTAAGATTATTATTATATGCATATGCATCCAATGAAAAAAAAACTACATGCTTTGCCTTTCGAAACAAGTATTTCCTGAGTATTGCTATCAAACGTATTACGTGCAGGCTGCAGTGTGAAGAGAGAATATTAATATAAGGAAACTCATTTATTAGTGTTTCATGTATGTATACGTTTATTTTGAAACACGAATAAGATAATCTACCAGAAATGTTGCAATTCTCAAAAATGGTAATTTTAAGTATTTCGATAATTTATATATTAGAAACATAACTTATTTACAGAATGGACAATATTCCCCGTCTTTCAGAGGTTCGGTATGTTTTTCTCTGTCGAAAGATAGGGACACCGACAGAAGTGGCCATCAGAAGGGACGTGATGGACATAAAAGAGATGATACAAAAACCTGCTGGTCATCATAAAGGATATGTAACAATGGCAAGTGGTAGTCATAGAGAGGGATTTAGGTTGAGATCATCTGACAGGGACTCGATGGTCTGGAGCTGTCATTATAAATTAATAACTGACATCTCCCAGTCTCGGTTTTATAATACAACAAAACATGTTATCATGCTAATGGAAGATTCTGATACACCGCCAGGATTTGTCAAACTGCGGCTCCTGACACCAACACGAGACATAATCACGATGTCATGCCTTGTTCTCTTTAATGGCACAGTTTATTTATCTAGTGGACTGTGGAGAGAACATTTTTTTTCAGTTCAGTAATGAGACAAGGCCATACACTGAAAATAACATACGCCATGGTCCCTGTAGCAGTGGTTTCTGTGGACCTATTGAAATCGATCAAGCTCATTGTTTAGCCTCTTTTCCTTGGCATAAAATATTAGGAAGTTGGGTTGAAAGATGTCAGAGGCACACCTGGCCGCTGGTACCTGTATTAGAAAAAATCTTAAAAAGTGAATGTCACTTTGTGCCTATTGGTAGTAAAGTTGCAATTGATGCGACTGATAACGAACTGGAATGGAGATTATCATTTTCTCAAGCAGAGCAACAATTGGTATGTACCATGAATCATACACAGTTTCTGTGTTACGGACTCCTGAAAATATTTCTGAAGGAAGTTATCAATTGTGGAGAAGATAAATTACTGTGTTCATATTACATAAAGAACACAAGGTTTTGGATGATGCAATCAGGACAAGTTAGATGGTGCCCGAACAACTTACTAGCTTGCTTTTCGAAGTGTTTAAAATATCTTTTTCATTGTGTTTATCGTGGAGTTTTTTTAATTTTTTTTATTCCAAAGAACAACATGTTCATAAACAAAGTTGTTGGTGGTGCACGTGACTCTCTTTTACAACAGCTTTATAAGTATTACAGAATGGGCGTGTCCTGTTTACTGCTGAGTCCGACTCTCAGATCAATCTTAGAACCAGCCGTCAGCAGCCCGTCCTTTGTGTTACATGTATCTCCTGCTGAGGGTGAAGCCATAAGTATAGCAGATTTAGATTTATGTGGCATGATTAAAATATCAAGCATCAAAAGTTCTGATAATCACATATGGGAATCATATCTTTATTTAAAATCAAATAAGAGACTTTCTCGCTTATCACTCTCATCATACCAGTTATTAACATTACAGTACTGCTCAGAATCTTGTTTGCTTATCCATCATTATGGCAAACGATACGTCATGTTCCACACATAAAAATATCTATAATTTTGATACAACAATTTGTGGTCTGTTGAAAATGGCGGCAAGATTTGGTCCTATGTCTCATTTATTATATCTAGCATTGTATTACTATAGAACAGGGAGGTATGATAGGACAGTACGCATCACGTATCTCGTTAGACAAAGACTATCACAATCATTTATGATGTGTATTGCAAATGTTGATAGGGAAAGGTACAATGAAGCTGTAGGTAATTTGTCTTTGTCTCAAAGAATGAAGATAGCCTGGGTGGATGTTGTGGACTTGTTATGTAATTTCTCCTATATTGAAGAATTATGTTTAGAACAAAATGTAAGTCATCAACCATTCCTACAGTTATCACCGTATGTTACAGTAGAGATGTTGTCTGTGTTATCTCACTTTAGACAAGGTAATATATCTCAGTGTTTACAGTCACTGACAGATTTACAGACACTGCTGCTCTATGATGACGGGACATATGTTCCTTTACCCATCAGAGACATACACTGGCAGATACTAGGAATCTGTCAACAAGTTGTGGGAGACTTACGCGGGGCGTTACGGTCTTATGAAGAGTCGCTCAAACAGGAACCATTCCACAGATTACAAGAAGCGACAGATTTTAGAATAGAATGTATTAAACAACAATTACAGAGAAATGTACACATGTGAAATATGATTTACTTCATGTTTCTATCGTAATTTAACGAGTTGTAGATCAGGATTTGAAGCATAACTTGTTTGTAAAGGAAACAGATAAAACGTAACTGTATGAAGATAATAAACCTTCAACTTAAAGTAGACATGAAATAAAATCTCCATAATATGTTTATAATGTTTATTCTGAGAATGCATCTTCAAAATAAAAACTACAAAGGAACTGTGTATCCACATCAATTAAATAATTTCTCCATTATTTCTTATAATAACCACTATGTAAAATCTTAACTTTATCATGTTTATAATGATGGAAACTCTTTAAAAATTCTGGCAATGTATTTCATATTTTCTAACCGTAAAAGATCTTCCATAATATTCGGCTTTTGTCGTCAAGATATAAAAAAAACATTGATCTGGTATAATCTTGTAGATCTATATTGTTTATTTCATGTACATATTTAAATAAAATAGTCATTTTACTGTTCATTTTTGATGTTTCACCTAACATTTTACTATTGTAAAGTAAAATTCTGTAAAACACAAATATTTTTTAGTGTATTACATCTAGATCATTTAAATCAGTAGTAGAAATCTTTGTCGACGCTGTAGCTCTACTGGTTTGTACTTATAACAAAGGAAGAAACAAGAGAAACATGGGCCACATCTCTCACCTGAGTAAAACTGAGCATGCTGTTATTTACCAGGTTTCCGCCTTGTAATACCTATTGTGATCCCACCCTTCCCCTGGGGTCATAATGTGGAAAATGTAGAATACACACTATCTCAGGATGCTTCCACATAAGTTTCAGCTTTTCTTTCCCGGTGGTTCTTGAAAAGAATTTGAATTTTTTCATATATAATTCAATATAAAACTTTGATTCCCTATTGTGGCCTCGCCTTACCCCAGGGGTCACGATTTATCGATTGAACAATTTATCATCTACACAACCTCGGGATTCTTTTTTCCTACATGTTTCCATGTAAAATCGGACTCCTTATTGTGGCCCTGCCCTAACTCCTGGGGTCATGATTGAACGATTTAGAATCTACACAACCCGCTGATTCTTTCACCTAAGTTTCAGCTTTCCTGCTCTCTACTTGCATGTAGCATTATATTAAAATCAGACCAAAACTGAAAGAGGTGTAGCATTTTCAAAGTATTTCATCGAAATTTGAATTTTTAGTAACCACGACAGCACCATCCATTGAAATCAAAAATCGATACACAGAATTACATGCATGTTCCTTTAATCGTGTATCTATTTGTGTGTAACATTTTATTCAAATCATACAAAAACTGTAGCAGGAGCAGCATTTTCAAAAATTGTTTGCAGACAAACAGATTAAAAGAAGACAGATAGCTAGACGGATGAACGGACAACGGATATCTTACTATCCCATTAGTTCTTTTGGTTCTGACCTGTAGAGCTAAAAAACAAATTTCATTTATATGAAATATGCTCCATCTATCATATTCATATTTAGTAACACACATCACATCATAATCGTTCTCCCTTTGAAAGCAGCAGTTTAGATTTGTTCCTTCTGTATTTGAATGAATTCCCCATCCTTTTTCTATGGAAAGCTTGAGCCTCCCTCAACGTCGGGGGTCTCTGATAAGTCCCAAGAGCCCCTGAGGTGTAAACTCTCAGTGTCACGTCTATGTCTATCTCAAATCCCCGAGCCATTCCAATCACTGACACCCAGCCTGTAAATGAATTTTATACTGCATAAGAAATATTGTGAATTTTAAAATCTCTTTGTTTCTATATCATCTAATATTTGATTATTTCCATTTCTAGTTGCTTTTTCTGTGATACCGGTAACTCTTTGAAATTTAATGGATTTGATTTTTTTTTATCATTCTTCCAGCATGTAAATTTCGACAAGCGATACATCGGGAGCTAAGGAGGCCTAATGTACATGTAAATTTTTTGTGTTTGTCTTTCTGACATAAGAGGACTTGTGCAAATTTTAATTTATTAGACAACATTTTTATCATCTAAATTTACAATTTTATTTCACAATGAAATGGAAATATAGAGAATCAGTCTATTTAAGAGTATGCCAGGGTCATCAAGGATAATTGGAAATGCTTTGACCATTATGCAATATCCAATGTTTCCAGCTATTCTAGATGCCCAAGCATATTCCACTAACTAGACAGTATTTCCGTAAATACGTTCCAAAAATGTTATCATTATTTAACAAAGGAAAATTTACTACATGGGTGACTTCTTTACAGACTTTTTACTGATTAAATAGGTTTACTGTAATCTCAACAGCCAATACCATTCATGAATCTTGCAAAATAAAGTTATGAATTACATAACAAACCTATAGAGGAGAGCTGTAGGTCAAGGGCAGCCAATTTCTGGGGGTGGGCCTGGAGGTGGATCCCAATATCTTCACTCTTCAGTGGTGGAAGCTTTGCAAGCCTTGATTCATCACCAAGAGGAACCTGGAACAGAACATCTATGAGCATGAGTATATGAAGACATATGGATTTATTGGAAATTTTGACGTTTTTTTACAGACGGGGATAGGTACCTTATTTACCCAATGTTAAAATATCATTGATAAATTTCTGATTCTCTTGACAGTTTTAATTCTGAATCTGAGATACCTACCCCCAGTACATCTGTCCCAATGTTGTTGTTGTTGTAGAACTTTTCTGCTTCATGACTAGGCATCACATACACAGGAAGCTTAGAGCTGATAAAATCACCAAAATTATATCCTGGTTTCCCTGTAATCAAACTAAATGTTAATGTTTTAATTATCTGGAATTTTTTCTTTGAATGTTAATTATGAATTGTATTTTGAATATTTTGAAAACACTACACAGGAATTAATTGTTTCCTCACATTTCAAAATCGGAGGAGAGGGGGGGGGGATTACTGTCATATGAAAAATTACATTGATATTAAAGAATTGACACTTATAAAAGACTAAGGTAAGATTTTTTTTTTTATCAAATAAGAAAGTTTGCTGTTTAATGATCATCAAATTAATTTGCTAATTTGGATTTTGCTAATATAGTATTTTCACATAGTCTATTCTTCCTAGTCCAGTGATGAAGGCAGTGTGGTCAGGTTTAAGTAAATACTAGTAACAACGGCAGATGACATGAGTTTCAGGTTTCAGTAAGTAAAAGTAAGGGAAATCTTACGAAAAGGGATGATGTTTTATTTCTTCAGGTGTCATCTCTGTGTGGATTTAAAATAATCAGTAACAAATCCTCTAAATCAGTCATTATTCCTAAATTTATAAACAGTACAACTAATCTTGGCTTGACTTGTTCCTAAGAAATCAATTGGATTAAACGACATTTTAAAAAGTTATTATTATATAACAAAAGAAAATTCTATGCATGGGTGATTTCTACTGATTTCAAGAATTAGAAGATTTGAGGAAATTGGTAAAATGGTCTGATATTTATTTACATTCTATTCCATAACAATGTGATTTGACAATAGAGAAGCAACACTACGTACGTCTTGCAAAATAAAATTGCGTGCTTTTGTTTTCATATTACGGAAATTCATGTGGAAACTCTACATCATATGATTAAAACATAATTTCACATTCTTGCAAAAATTAATTTCATTTTCTTGACATGTTTGCGTAACACATTTTCCACACAATATTTTTGCAACTTTACACCTATTTATTGCATTATAGTAATGCATATACGTATGTATATTCATTACGCCAAGAAAAATCATTTCCCCCAAGCATAATATACTTTTTGGCTGAATTAATCTTCATGTTTCCCAAACATCTATGCATTTAATTTTTTGTTACATGAAAACATGCAAAAGAGCTGAAAAATAATACATAAACTTTCAAATTCGGGACCGCTCTCAAATTGATTTTAAATTTGAAAGTGAAGTAACAGAAATCCTTTGACACATGACACTCTGATAAAACAATAGAAATGTGGCGTGAGCAAGGCTACTCTGACGTCTACTACTCTTTGGAGTTTTCGTTTAACGAACGGTAACTATTGCGGAAAATGCATTTACAGAAAAGGTTGAATATAATCAAAAGCATTATAACAACAGGAAAATGTGCCCTGCCACTTGATATTCTAGTACCAAACATGTGAAGCGTTGTAAAAATTATTCAAAATGAGATAAAATAATGTATTATACATATACCTTATATTTTTCGACCTTTAAACTATATGAACATTTTTTTATTTGTCTCTGTATTATGATAGTATTGGAAAACATAATGAATATATTCATATATATTTAACTTGTAACACACTGACAAATACATTTGATCATAAAAGAGGAAAATAGACGTGTCCTACAATGTACACCATCTGACCACCGAAAGGGAGATAACATTTCGAAAATGTGAAAGTTATGTATTTGAAATCATATAAAACAGTGAAATATATTCTACTGATCAATTCGTGAATATATGAGACCGATTCTTATTATTCTGGAAAAAATGAAAAGTCAAAAGACAAAATATTAATAAATAGATTAAATAATAAAGAGTTTCAAACAACTCCCATTTCAAAGATGCGTACAAGCGTTACTGTTCAAATCTCCATTGTTGGGGTAAATATTCATCAGGGTCAACTCTCAGAGTGTTTAGGTCGTATGCAATGACAAATATGAAGCTGTAAAAAATGACCTGAGGTATATTACATTTATTTACTTTGGTTTTTTTCAATCTCTCATTTTCAATGTTGTAAAAATAAACCCATGTTCAATATTCAACGTTGGAAAATTTTTCCACCCGGATCAGTATTCTTGGATACAACCCCTGGATCAACGTCTTATTTTTTCCTACAAAGCTGGAAATTCCCATTCTCAAATTCTTGTTATCAGCTAATTTTGGCTTTAAATACAAGAATTATATAGGGAAGGAAACCGAAATTGTACTTCACCCTCAACAAGAATTCTAGATAAATTACTTTTTATAACAGTAGTGAAAATTATAGTTCCCTGTGTTTTCGTTACTGTAATTTTCCTGTTTTCTCATTTTAGCTGAGTAAATCTAAAACTCGTAGAACACTTATATACAGAGAGAGAGAGAGAGAGAGAGAGAGAGAGAGAGAACGAATCTTTAAGATTTTTTATGGTTATAACAATACATCTTTGTCCTCCATAATATTGAGCCGGAGGCTGGAATGAATTAATTATTTATTGTCTAATATTAATTGAGATTTGATAAGATATTTAAGGCTAAGTCCTATGTTGTTAACTCAATTCTTCAATGCATGTCAAAAGTCAAGAACATCGAAAAGTATCAATTATAATTAGGAATGTCAACATATAATCGAGTAATTGACTATCGTTCGATTAAACCAACTATCGACTAAAAAGTTTGTAGCTTGTAATTCGTTAACCATTTCGTAGTAATGTTAAATTCAAGGTTAAAACATGAATCCGCACAGTTTATTTATTAACAGATCAGTTTCCTCATGAATAAAACATACTCAGGTTAACTGTTATACTGTTATACTTAACCGGTCTTGGTTATTTGTTCATACTTAAAGAAATTATTTGCTTGTCGAGTTGTTTGGCAAATTGAAATATGCAATGGAATATTCAAAATATTTCGGGTCCAAATTGTTATGTTTCAACGTAAAATTCCCTCGGATCTCGTACTAAGATTTCAACAATATATCGTTAAGTTTAAACGTATTTAAGATTCCCAGATCTTATATCTTCAGTGCACTATTGAAATTTAAACTTAAGAATGAATACAATTTACTTATTATAAATAAAGAAACAAATTTAGTTGAAATTTGTTTAAGGTTTATGACAATTTGACTGGACTACTATTCATTGATTAAGAATCATTATAATTATACAGCTATAAGATGTACATATTTTTGGCTTTCCTATAGAGATCATGACTGTGTACTAAATGTTCAATGAATGTAATTGAAGCTGAAAAACACACTTTTTGAATGTTTGAGTTTTGTTACAGAACAAAAGACTCATCTGAATTCTATTAAAGGCACTATTTCAATTTTGCTTATTTAAATAATGAAAATTAGTTATTGTGGGTTCTAAACTGTGAAACTATTGAAGTGCCTTCAGTTGTTTGAGAACTAGAAGAGCAATATAAAATACTAATTCAAATAATTTGAAATTTCAATAATAGGTATACACATGTAAATTTTTACATTAAAAGAAAAACACTGTATGTACTGAATTAAGAAAGTTCTTATTCCCCTTATAAATTGATTAAGGGTGCAATATAATGTGTCTTCTACATGTATAATCAAATTTAAAAAATTGTATTCTCAATCACTTAATAAATATTACTTTGGTCATAAGATATGCAAACATGGTGCTTTTTAAAGTACCAATGCACTGTCCCGTGGTATCTCTTGCAATTTAGTGAAACATATCTATTCAGTATAAATTGTTGTATATGTATAGTTTTTTGCATTATGGTACACGGTGGTACTTGTTTACATTTTACAATATGAATTTAAATTTTACATGTTAGCAATTATCTCAACTTATGAACCATGTATAAATTGATTAAGTATATACATGTCCTAAAAATATGTGAATACAACTATTACATCACATTTTGTAAATAATTAAAATCATATGCTCTTTTTAATTATCTTGTATATGTAATATACTGTGAAATCACAAATGTTCGGGGGTTTAATTTTCGTTTATTCGAGGTGTGAAAAGACCCACGAATTCACGCTCAACACCA